CACATTATGACATCACATCATGACATCACATCATGACATCACATCATGACATCACATCTCATGAAATAGCATTACGATTAGTGATTTAAACAGCATTAATAAAAATCATGGTAAAATACAAACCAACGAACTTCGTTTCAGAGTCTCATTAAATTTTAAATGCTCTCTGCTTTTTTTTGTTTTGTGAATGCGTCCTCGGGTACTCAAAAAGTGTTTAAAACGTTGCCAATCCAAATAGAATATCCGCAACTTTCTGAATTACAATGGAGTTTTTCTCTTGCTTATTTAATAGTATAATATAATAAATTTGCAGTGTTGGCAAAGCCTCTTGCCATCATAATGTAAATAGTTTTTAAGAACAAATAACTCAATAATTAAAATGTTTGGTTGAAAATGCTAAGTTTAACTTTACATCCTTTGGTTTGACATCTTTACTTCCAGATATAAAATTTATCCAAGACTATCTTGAAGATAATAATGTTGGCTGATTTGACCACATTTTCAGGTAAGCCATTTTAGTCGTTTACTATTTACTGTTGGTGAAGTAGTATTTTTTTACATCCTTTCTGCAAGTCCACTTAGTCAACTTAATACCATTTCCTCTTGTCACTATTGAAGGTGCATAGTCTGGTTTGATATCGACATCTAGCGGTCCATCAAGAAATTGATAAGTTGATATTGTGTTTCCTCTTCTGCGTCTCTAAACCAGTTAAGACCACCCTAATAACTTTAACCTGTTCTCTTATTTTAATCCTCTGCTTTGGAGTGGTATTCTGGATGTTCGTTTCTGAACTCTTTCTAAGTGTTGAATTTGGTATTTTCTAAAAAGGTACCATACAACCACACAATACACCAGAATTGACTTAACCATAGATTTATAAAGAACCGAAAAGAAAAAGCCGCTATGGGTCATTTTTAAAATTTCGTTTTAGCAAACCAACCATTCTGTTTGCTTTTATAGCAGTCTGAAAAACAGGATCGTTGAAAATCAGCTTGGAGTTTGTAAGTGTGCGAAGATCCATAGTTTTTTTTGTCTCAGTTAGAGACATCTCTACTCCTCCTTGCCCCATTAAGGCATATGTCCAAAACTGGAAGCATTTACTTTTAACCTACATTTCACGAACCATTCACATGCATCTTTTAAGGTCTCCTGCAATAATCGACAGTCTTCTACAGTTTGAATTACGTTAAAGAGTTTAGTATTATCTGCATAAAGTAGGATGTTTTCACAAACATCTGCAGCATCATTGATGTTAATGATAAATAAGAGTGGACCAAGCAGGCTACCTTGAGGCACTCCGCTAGTTGTCTTAATTGGCTGGGATAATGCATCCCTACTTTTTACCCAGAATGTTCGATTGGTCAATAAACGTTTGATCAACCGAATAATGTTTGTGTTAACCCCGTAACTTGACAATTTTGATATTGTTAATATCTACTTCTTTGATCAGATCCATTGCTTTTGTAACACTATTTAGGAAATATATAACAGAAGTTGTGTATCAGCAAATCTGCCTGGGAGGAATTCAACCGGCTTTTTAGAGAAAAGATTGTTATTTTTTAAATGATCCAGTAAGTAATCTGTGACAATTACTTCAATTAAAATGCAGGTTATCAATAATAAAGAGATTGGTCTGCAGTTCCTTACATCAGATTTTTAGCCTTTTTAATAAATCGGGATGACCGTACTTATAGATTTCAGTGACAAGTTGAATACGCTGCACACGTATGCTGACAAAGATGTTTTAAATTCCTTGAAGATACGAGGGTGTGTTCCATCTGGTCCTGACTTTTTATTATTTTCCAGGTTTTTCAGTTTGTTTTCAACATCTTGGATGGTAATCACAGGCATTTTCATCTCGTCAACATTTTTTCTCACGTAAAACAATTTTTCTGCGTCTACACCGGGCAGAAAAACTTATCCAAAAAACTTTGCTAATTCATTAGCTTTATTGACACCTTCTGCCAAGATTTGACTATCGACTTGTAGGACTCCAACTTTTTTATAGTTGCATGTTAGTATGTTCACGTGTTGCCAAAAAAGTTTGTGACTTTTTTTTATGTTGCAAGGAATCTAAACTGCTTTTTAGAGAAAAGATTGTTACATTGAAAATGATCCAATAAGTAATCTTTGACAAATGCTTCCATTAATTTGCAAGGTATCGATGTTAAAGTGGTGGTCTTTAGTTTCTTACACCAGATTTTGTTCTAGATGGTGTATTTCTGCAGTTCTAGTTCTTAATTTGAACATTCTTGCTTACTACTTTGCACTCCTGATTAGCATTTAAATAACCAGTTTTCTAACAATTTTTTAAAGTTTAAATTTTTTCTGGAGAAATATATTCATGCAATACATTAAAATTATATTTTTTTTTTGGTTTTCATTGGACAAATATTTTGCTCATTACTACAAACACACCTCAAACTTTTTACATGTAACTTCAAATGTTTTAATTAAAATTAATTAAAATTGACAATCAAATATACATTGTTTAACCGACCAATCGATTACTGATACTTCGTAGACTCATTGAAGTGTCTAACTATGTCCAACAGCGCTTTGAAACTTTTGACAGCCACACAACTCACATACACGCACAAAATCTGTATCAAACACTTCAGCACATGATGGGGTGTTTGCACCTGGATCAGATGAGTAGAACACGGGGAGGACCAATTGCCTTACGGTTGAATCACATTGTTTTAATTGTATATTGGGAGGAATAAAATTGGTACAAGTTAGTTAAAAGCATTCTAGAAAGTTATTTTAAATTAATTGTGAATTTGTTGTGGGCATCGATTGAAAAAAGAATATAACAAGGAGTATGGCGATGAATTTTAAGAAATAGATGCAATTAGTATAATAATTTCATTAGATTATTCAGCAAAACTAACTTTAAATTCGATTCTTGAAAGATAACTTCTTACATGTTTGACTACCTTTATATAGCAATCTATTAATAGACTGATTTCTGATTGGCTGAGCAGCAAAGGCAGGTATTGTTAAGTTCTATTGAAATAATCTCAAACTTTTCATAACAAATCATTTCGCAAATTTTCATTTCTGTTTAGTTTCGTTTATTTATTTTTTAAATTTTTAATTCGTTATTTTTTTATTTCGATGCCACAAAGAAGCCCAACATAATAAATTAGAACATTTTCATAATCTCAAAAAAAATTTGCCGTAGTAATAAGACAACTTTGATAACATATTATATATAGTTAATCAATTTTAGTTTGACATTTTATTTATTTGTTGTTATCATTTCGAATTCGAAAAGATTTCGAAAAAGGAGAAATGTTTGAAGATCAGGTAATTTATTATTGTTAACATTATTTTTCTAATTAATGCTAAAAAAATTACATTAATTAACAGATCGATAAACAATGCATAAACTCTAACTTAATCCGTTTTTTCACAAAATTTAAAATCACAGCTTTTATACAATTTAGTAAAATGGTCTCAATTCATCAACGAAATTCATATTTATAACGAATTTTATAAATATTTTTCAAATTTAAAACAGAGTTTAGAGAAGTTCAGCCCGTTTAATAGCGTGTGTGCTAGCAACCACTACTACCCGCAGCGACAACAAAAGCAACATCACAGCGACAGCCACCAACAGGAGATCTCACAACACGGCGCTCGCTACATCACACGAGATGAGCATCAACTTCAGGAAGATGCTTACGATCCATTCTTCAGTAGAACATCAAACAAGTCCTCTCTCTATCCGATCAACAAAAACAGCAACATCATCCAAAACAATAACAACAACACCAACAACATCAACAACAACATCGAAACCCAAGATGACATCAATAACTGGCTAACACCTCCAACTTCACCAGAGTTTATTGATGATGATTATTTTCAAGAATTGGAATCACTGCTGTCAGAACTAAAAAACGACGATCAAAGCATTTACCAGAAAGAAAATAGAGGCTCCAACGTCAAAGAGCGCAACATGCAAGAAGCGTTGAACTCATTGCATGTGGAATGCGATAAAGACATTCAGATCAAAATTAAAGAAGAACCATTGAATGATTACGAGACGATTATCAACAAAAACAATGATTACATTAACAGCAACAACAACAATGACTACATTAACAACAACAATGATCACATTAACAACAACAACAATAATTACAGCAATGCCGTTGACAGAAAAATAGCAGAAAGACAAAACAGTTTTTTTGATTTAATTAATTCATTTTCAGAGAAGACCGAAAATGAATGGATGGACAACCCGCCAGACATTTCACAGTACAACTTCGTAGACAGCCTACTTAATAACATTGAGCAACAAAAAACGCAGCAGCAACATCTACTATCACAATCTCAACAACCAGAAAATCGTCAGCCAAAAACCCAACATCAAAAGCAGCAAAAACCAAAACAGATTCAAAATTTCCGCCATCCAATGAAACAAACCCCGGAAGCAGCTAACCAAATGCCAGCGAACTATCCGCAACAACTGTTCAACATGCAACAGTTCCATCATCAGCTGTTGAAAAATTTAAAATATAACTCTCAACAGTACGAGCAACAGTTACAACAATTCTTTTCGCAACAATATTTTTCGCAGTCTCAACTAAAAATGTTTCAACAACATCAACAAAAACCAATCAGAAAACAAACACTAATTGCGCAAGCTGAAATCAAGCAAGAAATACTTCCAATTGAAAATGCCTTATTGACCCAAAGTCCCAAACTGCAGCATAAACAGCAAGAAACAATTCAGATAGGTGAGTTCAACATCAGAAGACAGTACTTTCAATACGAGACAGAGCCTGCAACGACACAGCTTCAAAAAACACCGCTACTTCCTGCAAAACAACTGGAGCAGCAGCAGCAACAACAACAACAAACTTCTCAGTTCCTTCCTCTCCCAACACCGCCAATATCTCCTCAATATCCACCTCTCGAACTCTCTTCCAAACAGAATTTCATACCAACACTTCAATCTATCCAACACAGTCAATCACACAATTTCATGCATCTTCATGAGCAGCAGCAACTTCAACTGCAACAAAATCAGCAACATCAACAGCATTTGTCCCAGCAACAACTTCAACTACAACAAAATCTGCAACATCAACAGCATTTGTCTCAGCAACAACTTCAACTCTTCTTACTGCACCAAAATCAACAACTGCAACAAAACATCATCAATCAAACCTCAGCGCAGCAACAAGTAAGCGAGACACAAGCTGTTAAGAGACGTGGAAAAAGGCGAAATTTAACGTCGAAAGCCAATCCGGCTTTTCATGTCTGTCCGTATGATGGCTGTGAAAAAACTTACACCAAGACATCTCATTTGAGGTCGGTCTCATTTTAAAATGTCTATCTGTATGTGTGTTTTTGTTGTTTCATCTGTCTCAATGTACAATATATATCTGTTTAGTAATGCATTAATATAAAAAAATGTACGAATAATTCTTTGAATCTTGAACAAAACCGGGAATTTTTCGATATCGAGTTTTTCCTTTTTCAGTAACCGATAACGACATAATGGTACCGAATTTTTGTTCGAAATCTGAATCAACCTTTTGAAGTACTCTTAATACTGAAAAGTTTTTTGTCTTGCTTAGCTGCAAAGAATACACTAGTTATATTCTTCCCGTTATAAATTTTTTCGGAAGTAACGATTATTTTTATAACTGTCAACTTTCTGCGTTAACTTCAATTGAAATCGTTTCATTAGTCGGCAAGTGAATTAGTTTTACTATTTCTCGTTCACTCCGATGTGCCTCTATTGAAAATTTCGTTTCAAAGTTTTCAATCCACATTTCATATCAACCGTCGCGCGTCTAAGATATTTTTAATCCTTGTTCACAAAGTTAATTGTACAAAATGTAATACATATGTTATACGCATTTCTGTGATGATGCAACAAATTTTTCTCTAACTTTAAAATAATTTAATTTGCAAACTTGTTAAACCTTTCCATGTACGTACAGTACGTGTTTAAAATTTCAACATACCCACAAATATTTGAATGACTGAATTAGGCAACGACACGAACGACAGCATGAATGACTGATAAAACTAAATAACCATACAAACGATAACATGACTGATCGAATGAAGTAACCACACTTACCACTACCACCAAACGATAGGGCTCACGTGAGGACACACACAGGAGAGAAACCCTTCCACTGCAACTGGATTGGATGTGGTTGGAAGTTCGCGCGGTCGGACGAACTGACCCGTCACTACCGCAAGCACACAGGTCTCCGGCCGTTCCAATGCTCCATATGCACCAGAGCCTTCGCCAGGAGTGATCACCTGTCACTGCATATGAAAAGACACGATGCTCCTACGCCTGTGAAAATCAACTGATTCTGTGATTGATTCTGATTATGGGGTGGTGGCGTTGTAATGATGTCATTGTGGTGATGTTGAAGGGATGATTATGTAACTGTGGTTAAGTTGTTACGATGTTCTGATTGTTGTCCTATGTCGTTGAAATGTCGTTGTCTGCTGATTGTCAAAAATAATGCTAGAATTATGATGAAGCGTCAGTTCGATGGTCACAATTTTGTGAAAATAAAACAAACATGTTAGCAATGAAACGCCAGTGAAACGATGAAAATTGTGACTATGATAGCGATGAATGCAGATGGCCCGATAAAAATGGGGCAGAACCAATATATACTGCTTGGTGATGATGATGAAGAAGAAGACAATGAGGAGGAGGAGGAAGAGGTTGTTGTTGATGACGATGATGGTGATGATGGTAGTTGTTAACAGTCGTATACATTTTACGATGGAGATGATAACAACCACATGAAGTGTGGTTTAGTGGCATCTAGTTAGGTAATTAGATAGACTAATGTAGTTGAGCTAAAATGACATAACCTAACTTTGGGGTTTCCTTTGTTGCAGAGCATTTGTTGCATTACAAACTGAAATTGTTGCATTTCATTGAATTTGTGTGACATTAAATTTTACTTTGGACTAATTTTTTTACTTCAGCAAATTTAATTTTCATTAATTTTGTTTTGTTTCATTAATCAAGCAACATTTTGCATTATCTAATTATTTTTTTTACTTAAATTTTACTCATAACTTAATTATTATTATAACTTCAAAGTTTCTGTGATCAGTTTTGCATTAATTTGTTTAATATTTAATTGGATCTGCCAATTTCAACTCGGTTTAACTTGAGATTTTAAACCAATTTTGTTATTGAACTGTCAGGATTGAAACTTTAAAAAAAATTTCTAAAATAATTAATTGACGACATTGTAAAATTATTAATTTATAATTTTCAACAATGACAAATAAAAAGCAAATTAAGTCAGAATGTTATTATCGCCTGATACAGATAACTCTTACTTAATCTGTTTTTTCACAAAATTTTAAAATTTTTACTTATTACTGAACCGAAATAAACTCAGGTCTTTATTAAACATTCCTTTTAAGTTTAAACAATGAAATAATGTGTGTGTGTGTGTGTGTGTGTTGTGGACATAATAATTATTTAATGGGTGTTGTGATTGCAGCGGACAATGAAATGAACAACATTGGGCTTCAAGATAAATAACAAAAATGAAAATCCTAAAAATAGACAAACGCGCTGTAAGTATTCGGCTGACACGAACGCTTACGTAAAAATGCGAGTACGTGCAAAGAGAGAATCGGACAATTTTTCAATTAATATGAGATATGAAGTTCCGGAATCTAGGTTGGATGGAACAAGTGCAAGTGCTTCCTCCTCAGCTTTTCTCCGAACGGCTGCTCTTATTATTATTATTTCGACTGTTCTTGTTATTCACTTTTTCACAATTTTATCTTTTTTGTTATTTTGTTATGGACGAAATTTTTGAACTGTTTTTCAGTTTTAAGCCGTTAAACAAATATGATTTCGATTGGTCGTTGTTTTTTACCAAATTTGTTTGAACTTTGTGTTGTGGGCTAATAACATTTATACAATAATAATAATCATAATGGTAACATCCTAAAATAATAATGGCAAAATGGTCATTAATTCAAAATGGAGTATCATCAAAGGTTATGTACTTTTCAAAACCAATACAACACCGTGGTTGTAAGTGCAATTTACATGAAAAAACTGGCAAATTTTTTTTTAAAACATTATAAAAATACGTAGCATAGAAGCCTAATTATAAGTTAAAATGTAACGTAAATAAAAACATAATTACGTTTGCGTCAGTGTGGAAATGTCTACAAGGAGTTGAACATACGAAGTGTAAAGCAAAAATTGAAAAATATTGTGAAAGGTGTATTCAACAAAAAACCTGATGACGTCAGAGTAAGAAATCATGACGTTAGAGCAAAAAATTATAATAACAACAATGACAAACAGCAACAACAACAACAAAAGATATGATGATGTCATAGAAAAGAAGACAGCAGCAACGAAGGATATGATGAAATCAATGCAAGAAGTGATGGCCACCAAAAAGGAAAGCATGACGTCACCGCAAAAATAACAACAATAAGAAAATAACAATAAGAGATTTGAGTTGAGTGATCGTTTGGTAGGACAGCCTTGAACCAATCAGCTTGGAGGATGATTGATACGTCATCAATCACGTGATACTGCCAACAAGTTGCCAGTGCTAAGAAGGGCTGCATAATTCATAATTCACAGTCTCGTGTGAATGAGCAGGCTGTCGGCAGGTTGCTGTTACAATCCACCAAGGACCTCCTCAGTATTTCTAACATTTTTCAATTTTTGAAAATTTCTGAAAAAATCTGTTAATAAATAAATTAAGGTTTGTTTGATTTACAAAATGAACAAAATACAAGCGTGTGTGTTCTTTGCGCATGTTGATGTTGGTGGTAGATGCAGGGATATAAATGTATTGAGTTATTTGGTGAAATGGGATTTAGTGCGGTAATGCTGTGTGGTGATGCTGTGTGGTGATGCTATGAGGTTATGTTACGTGAATAATATTATGAAATATGAAAACATTTGTGAACCAGTTCAAATTTGAAGGCTTAAAAAGTTTAAAATATACAAATTGATACATCAATATGCCAATATATATAGAGAAAGACTGGTAAATTTATAAGTTTGAACATACAAACATGAAAATATACAAACCTACAGAGCATACAAGCAAACAAAAAATACAGACAAGATCAAACACACCAACAAATAAATAAGAAACAAACGAGAGATATGACACGGCAAGAAGATATGCAAGCAATGAAAGGTCTGCTCAATGGAGACATGTGCATATTGATTGAAGAGTTGTCAATTTGCTTAAAAAATCACTTTTCTTGAAAGTTTTTCGGCAGAAAAAATTAAAAAAGCCGTCGGCACGAACAAATTGGACAAATTTGTTCAAGTGTCAGTAATGTGAAGATGATGATGATGATGAAGAAGATGGTGATGATGAAGATGATGAGAATGAAGATGATGAGGATGATGAAGATGATGATGAAAATGATGAGGATGAAGATGATGATGAAGACGATGATGAAGATAATGATGTGGGCGAGGCCTGCTTTGCTGATGTTAAGGTTGGAGTTGGATGAATATGATGCAATGTTCACGGAAAAAATTTCATTGAAAATTAGTTTAACTGAATTCGAGTGGTAATGGCAAAATGAAACCATTATGGTTGTATAAACTTTTTCAAGTAAAAAGTAAAAATTGAAATAAGTAAGTTTCCTCCCATCATTATCACCAACAAACATCACACAGCATGGTCGCCACTTTTTATTCCACTGGATGGCTAGATTACCTACTACCATGATGTTCAGCTGTTATCGTGTTTACACTTTTTTACGCGCGCGCGCACACACACACATACATTACAGGGCACACACACACACACACAGGGCACACACACACATACACACAAAAATTTCTCATTCATGCAGTAAAATATAAAAACGAAGATATTTATTGTAAATGCTGGATCACTTTCTGAGATTTGCATCTCTTGTTTATCTCCTGTTAGAGCTCTTTAACTTTTTAATGCTTCTGGTGCTTTTTGTACAAATGAAGTAAATCTACTTGCTGGGCAATCCAGTTTTATTGCGTTGTTTTTATTATATCTTAAAACTGATACTTTCCAACAAAATTTAATTGATATTTTGAAATGATAAATTCCCCACATTAATGAAAATGATGATCCATGTAAATGTAGTTTACCACTTAATCTCATTTTCAATTTTTGAGTAGATTGTTGATCAGATCAAACCAAATGATGATCATAAAAAATGCACGTTAAAGTTTAACCCGATGTCAGTGTGAATTAATTCTGGCGAAATTTCATTCATGGGAATATTTTAGTCTTTTTTCCTATAAATAAAAATAACTACGTTTAAAACTTCCTGCTGATTTTATAATTATTTCTAATCAAATTCTGACTTTAGCATGTTTAATCATCTTAAGCTGTTTTTAACATCAATTCGATATATATATATATATTTAAAAATTTAATAAAATACAAAAACGTGCAAAAGACATATTAATTTAATACAAAGATACAAAGTAATATGAAATCAAAGAATAAATTGATGGTAAGCACCTAAATGGACATTCGTGGAACTTACTGGCATGGCTCAAACCGTATAACGTTCATTAACGTTCATTAAATATATTTTGATCGACCAAATTGCTTGTACTAGAATTTTCCGACTTAATGAAAAATTGTTATATTTTCGGATTTGTGTTTCAAATATAAACTTGTAGTTAAGTTTTTTCATTTGTTGGCAAGTTTTTTCATTTGTTGGCAAAAAAGTAGTTTACATGATTCTTATATAGTAGGATGAAAGTCCCAACGTGCCATGCCACGAGACGCGGATGATTATCGCTGGCAAGCAAGTAGAGGAAACTTCTCTATTTTAAAATAATGCGACTGGATTGGTGAATAAATTTTAAACTTTTATTTTGAAGTTAAGTTTTAGATTTTTTTTAAGTTAATTTTTAAAAGTCAGCTATTTATTTGTTTAGCTGAATAATAAGAATTGGTAGTTTATTTACAAAATAAAAAAATTTGTAATAATCTATTTATTTTGCAATAAGTTTTAAGAAAATTTTTCCACAGCAACAAATGTTAACTTAACATTGTTAAAAAATAAAATAATTTCTCGCACTTTTCAAGTAATAAATAACCGCGCAAAGTGGCACATAAATAATAATTCGATTTAAAAACAACGTCAGACTGCCATTTAACAAAATTCAATGAAAAATATTTGATGAATGTCGCAGTTACTTCGCATCTCCTTCTATAGATCTCTGCACGGTTTCAACAAACGCTCCATCTTATTATTGCTATTATTATCATCATCATCATTATTCTTCTTCTTCGTCTTCGTTATTATTATTACTGTTACTAGTAGTAGTAGCAGTAGTA